TTTTGAAAAACAAGCTCCATCTATTGGTGGGGAGCAGCGCCTGCTGGAAACCGGGTCCAGCGTCCCATAGATACAACCATATCCTCACAAATTGGCACAAACTGGGAACTGGGCCCAGCGGCCCATAACAAGTACGTTCAGAAAGCTTCAAGGAACTACTAGAAAATCTGATTGGCCTAAGGATGGGATTTGGGGACATGAGATACCGGGGCCATTACCCGGCTTTGGCTCGGAGAAAATGGAGCTACTTCAGACATGTCTATGACAACTTCATGATTAAGCAAAATTCCGAAACGACTCGAAAAAAAACCCATCAATCCACTTTACCTCACTCCGGCAAGACTGACTGCAGCGGAGCCACCATCTCTGCTGCTGCTATGCCGTACTCCCATCCTACCAGCTAGCCCCCTCACTGGTAGGACGCGTGATAACCCACCATCTTCTCCAACTCACCTTATTTTCTTTTTGAGGTACCTAAGAACTCTTACCGTCGTTCCACAGAGGTCTACAATCATTCCAAAAACCTCGAAATCCCACACAAACCCTTCCAACGTTCTCCAAAACTGTCGTACTCTCTGCCGATCTCTTCTAGGTCTCACACCCCCACTTCCGCTGGGTTACAGGGCAACGCAACTCACCCGAGGCTCTTATCTATCTCATCCTCTCACTAGTCTATGTATAGTAGGGGGAATACCAACCAACCTGGATGTCTCCCCAGCCCACGGGGTAGGTTGGCCCTCTCACTAGTCTATGTATAGTAGGGGGAACACCAACCAACCTGGATCTCTCCCCAGCCCACGGGGTAGGTTGGCACCACAGCTGTGGTGCGAGAGCAAGACTGTACAAGTCCCTCATCACGGTGACCAGGGGTGGGCAGGCATTGCCGATGGGGGACATCGGTGGTGCTAGCGCCGAGCAATGGCCGGTCACTGCACCTCCCCCTACCCCCCCCCAACTCCACATGGCGGTGTCTAATGGCCAATATTGTTGCTGCATAGCAGCCAAGTACTCCAATTTTAACGGATGTCGGGAAGGACAAGTCCTCTTTTTTTTTCTTTTTTTTTTCCCCCAGAGCCCAGGTTGTTGTAGAGGCTGGATTACAGACGTATGAGAGTCCTACGCAGTTGTGAGTATGCCCTTATCCCGCCAAGCTGCAATATGGGCGCTATATATTGGCCCAACCTCGCTGAAGAACAAGAGTCGAAAAACGAGACTCAGTGTGAAGAAAAAAAAAAAAAAAAAAAGGGGGAAAAAAAAAAACGAGTAAAAACAGGTTCCTCAATTTCGTGCACACGTGGACTGCTGAGATCTATCATTCATCGTGCTTCCAGTCCTCCGTTTTCCATTCTTTGGGCCTCGCTCCACGACACAATGCTTCGCATGCATGTGGACGCATTATGGACCAGAGGCATCTGGACGAGTCCAACATTTCGAGTGTATCAGTGCCAGAAAGCGCCCGAATGCATCGAGAGTGCTGTTTAGCGGAGCGTGGCCCTTTTCCCTGCTCTTTTGAGCTCCCTTGCCGTAACGCTCTCCTCTGTTCGAGGGAACGAGGGGGATAGAGCTAGAAGGGGGTAAAGAAGTGGAGGGGGGGCACTCTTTTCTTGTTTTTTTTTTCTGCTTCCCCCCCCCCCCTTTTTTTTTTTTTTATAACGAAAAAGCCCAGGTTGTTGTAGAGGTGGGATACTAGACGGATGGCAGTCACCCACAGTACTCAGCCACTGGGTTGTCCAGATGAACCCCTTCTGAAGACCCCACCCACCCTTCCTCTAATCTTTTTGCCCTGGCGCACCCGCACCGCCCCTGTCCTACCCTAGTGTTAACCACCCAGGACCATCACCCATTGCCATCTTGGCGGGGTGACCTGACCAGACAGCGGTTGCAGGCACCGGGGCTAAGCAGAGACTCCTATCCCCTGCTCAGCACCGGTTGAAGCAGACGCCGTGCAAGCCTGATTGCATGGGGACTTCGGGAGCTAGGTATGAACATGCTACTACAGGTCTTCATGAGGTTGCACAGTGACTCCCGTCTAGCTTAGTTGTGTGGTGATGATAGACAGCTGGGTATCCTCCGCTCCCTCGTATGTCCCTGGAGCCCGTTCCGGACCCGCGGTAAGGTGCAGTATTTCCTGACAACCCTGACACCCCGTACTAAGGAACTGCTATGCCAGCCTCAACCCTGGCAAGCGCACAGCAATCACAGTGTGTTTTTGTGTGTTTTATTTATTATTCATGTAATTTTCATCAAGTTAATTGCAGATTTGTCGTATCTAGAGTCTTTCTGCTGTGCTCTTTGTTTTTCTCTCTTTTTCTGCTACGTACTAGGAGGATAGCCAACCCTAGGTCATGAGTTATGGACTGAGTTTCTTATCCTTATGTTGTCTTACTACAGTGTTCTATGGTGTTGATGGTAGAGAGATGGGGATCCTCCGTTCCCTCGTATATCCCTGGAGCCCGTTCCGGCCCCGCGGTAAGGTGCAGTATCTCCTGACACCCCCGACATCCAGTACTAAGGACTGCTATGTCAACCTCAACTCTAAGCTACGTACTAGGAGGATAGCCCACCCTCAATCGTGAATCATGGACTATGTATTGACCCTGGATGATCTATTGGCCCTTTGTTATATGGTAATCTGAGAGGTGGCAATCTTCCGTTCCCTCGTATGTCCCTGGAGCCCGTTCCAGCCCTGCAGTAAAGTGCAGTATCTCCTAACACTCCCGACATCCCGTACTAAGGAACTGCTATGTCAGTCCAGATGATGTAGCTCAGTGGTTAGAGCACCAGTTGGAAATGCGCATTGTGGTATAAGTTTGCAGGTTCAAAACCCCGCAGCCTTGCGCATGGACACCGGCAGGGCGTTAGATCGACGTGTGTAGGAGGGGGGCAGGAGCTAGGGGAGGGAGGGAGGTTCCACTGGTGCCCCCTGGTGGGTCTCCCTCCAGTACCCGACGGTGCTGCAGGCTAAGTAGGAAGGAAAAGGTTAGATATGGGACGCTGGACCCGGTTTCCAGCCAAATGGCGTCACCCTCAAGGATGTACTGTTACGAACAGATGTATTCACAGGACGCTGGGCCCGGTTCCCAGCAGGTGATGCTCCCCACCAATAGACGGAGTGGCCCGCCAGGCAAAGCCTCAATCCCGGTGGTTCTCTTACCACCACCAGGATAGAGGCCTTGTACCAGGGCCTGTTCAAAAAAAAAAAAAAAAAAAAAAAAAAAAAGAAGCATGCACTGCGGCACATTTCAAGGAAGCCTCAGCCTATTGTCAATGAAAATGGTCCGTGTGCCCACTCACATTGAGCCGTCTTGACTGCCACAGCCATGGTTAGTGAATCATACCCTGACATCTGACACCCTGCCTAGAACAGGCATCATCGAGGGGAAGAGCACTTTCTTCTCTTTTTTAGCATTTTTCTCTTCATTTTTTGGGTAATGAAATGGCTTTTCGAAGTTTTTAAGTTCTCATTTTAATTTTCCATATTTCACATTGCCACCCACGCGTCCCCCATCTGTCCCACACCCGTCACTCTAATCCAAATGCATGGCTAGTGGAACCTCCTGCCTGCAAGCATAGCCACCTCTCCGGGCATTTTTTTGATTTTTTTTTTTTTATAATGAAAAATCACTCTTCTTCTCTCAAATCTTTCATCATCTGTCAAAATCTTTCAAATTCTTTCAATTCCCCTTCACTGCCTACCTGGGGCCGAGTCCCACTTAGGCTGATTCTTCATTTCGGACCATTGATCTTGCGGATCTACGGTCAGAAGTTGAGATTTCGGGTAAGTGGGACTTGGCCCCTGGTTCCCTATATAAGCCTCTTCTCGGAGCATTTTGCCAGTAGCTGCGGGAAGTCTTCACAGCAAACATAAATTAAAAAATCTTCACAGGAAGGGAGACCAAGGAAGGAAATCTCCCCCAAAAAAAGGAACAACAAAGGAAGGACATGTCAACTGAATTTTCGTCCTTTTCTCAACTCCGTCATGCTCATACGAATTCAGAAAGGGATGGCAGTTCTCCACTCTAGCCCAACTTGAACCGCGCTATGGAGGAGGACCGAAATCGGCCTGTCATCAAAAATGTTGAAAAAACTGCGGCCAATCACAAACCGGCTTGTTCACCTCCTTTGTCGACGTGGCATGACAGAAAAATCCGGGCCCCGCAGCACCCTGCGATCCATGTACATTGGTGGCCAGAATGTCACACAAAACGGAGGTCCCTGCGGCAGGCATAAAACCTTCCCTAGTGGGACTTGCCTCCAGGCATACGCTACAGAAAAGATCACTATCGTGAACTGAATTCAAAAGAGGAAAAGTTTTGGCTGTGTACTCTACGCACTTTCACCATTTGGTCTCTTTTCTTTTTTAAATTCGAAATCACTGCAGCAGCATTTAGTTTTCCCAACTTTTGCCCGGGGGGGGGGGGGGGGGGGGGGGGGGGGGGGGGGGGGGGGGGGGGAAAGGGACCGCAACTGTCCTACAGTGCTTCATGTGCACAAAAAGGCCTACAAAAAAAAAAGAACGAAGTTGTGTGTTGGGCCCAACATCTTTTTTTTTTTTTTTTTTTTTTTTTTTTTTTTTTTTAAGAACTGTCCGCGATGTTGGAGCTAAGGAAGGAAGCTGAACGGAGAGCAGAAATGCGGAAAGACTTGAGCATACAAATGAGATTGGAGATTGAGGGGATACGACAAGAGATGAGGCATGGGTTGAGGGATGAACTCATTGAAACGTTTAAAGATGCGGTGTTACCAGCGATGCTACCGATATTGGATAAGGGTAAGCGGAAAGTAATGTCAGGGAGCGGATCAGATCGGCATAGCTCCGAAGAGAGTGATACGAGCGTGACCCAAGAGATTACCAAGAAGGCGGGAAAGCTAACCATTGCTGAAAAAAGAAAGAGGGGACCGGAGCCGGTATTCGAGGACGGCCCACCCATGGAGCTGTCACCGAAAAGGACTCCAAAGCGAGGGATGACGAAGCCGATCAAACTGTGTGCGCGTTTGACCAGAGCGAAGGTCAAGCAAACCGGAGGTAAGAAGCCTTCACCAGTGAAAACACCGCTGTCACGACGCAAGCCGTGCATGAAGAAGAACACGCCGCTCCCGAAGTCGGTGACTAAAGGCACGCTGGCGCGCTTACGTTTCAAGGAACAGGTGATGCGCGAGCTGAAGGATCTGGACGCTGCAGAGCTCCAGCGAATTTGTAAGGAGGAGGGTGTACCGTACGACAAGAAGGTGGAGGCAATTTTTGATATTGCCGAACGTCGAGCAAACATAGCCTTCGGAAAGGAGGATGTCACTCACGGAGAGATCATCGTGGTGGGATCAGAGACTTGCGGGGAAACTGCCGCTGAAGGAGAACAGTACTGGAACCTCAGTGTATCGCAATTATGGTGACTTTGCAGAATTTTGACTCGTTTTCGATGTAAATCCTTTGCTGTGAATCGTAGGACTGAGCGCTTGTTGAGGATTGTGATTTTATCACTAACGCTTTGTGACGAGATTCGTTGGACCGGTAAGTTTTTACCTATCCGGCTTGAGCTGTATGAGCGACATGGCTTGGGATTCTTGGACTTGTCACACGTTGTGTACGTAGCGGTGTCAACCTTTTGTAAATCGTTCTATGTGAGAAAAACAACCCGGGATGTCAACACACGTTGGCGTGAGCATATCTATAGGTGTAGAACACGGAATCTTGCCCACTTCCATCGTTGGTTGTGTTCGTTTGGTATTGGAAACTATGTTCTCCTACCAGTCGACGTCCTAGTAAGTTCTGATTTGCCAGCTTTGGAGGAAGTCTATATTCGTCGTTGGTCTCCATTTCTGAACTCGACGGGAGGAAAACATCGAATACTGGGATCGAAGAAGCACAAACCGGGCAGAAATTAATAGGGAAGGGGCAGAGATAAGGGGGACACACATCCAATCATAAGGACTAGGCCGATTCGGTTTTTGGTCTCCCAGTCGTGTCAATGGAATATCGACTTTTATGAGTTGCTTGAGAATACTTACTGTCAAGGCAACTCACCGACGACGTTTAGGACCGAAGGGGGGAATACTTGGCCACCTAGTTGGAAGAAACTTGCGCGGACGTTTGGGAATACAAAGCTAAGGCACAAAGGGGTGACAAGATTGCTAAGGGAGTGTAAGGCCTTGATTGAAGCGGGTGGGTCCTTCGGGGTGGAATATGTTTGTAAGTGGAAACCTCGCTGTAGTTACTTAAAGAGGGTGTTGAGAATCCACGAAAGCTTTCTGAGGTGTATGGTTGGGGCATGCGCTCAGTTCTTAGGTTGTATTACGCAGTAAAGTATTTTACTCGAAAAACTACAAGAAAATATCTACGTAGACTGATCTCACGATGTTTTCGAGAAAAGTTTGGCCTGAGTCTTTGTACAGATCTTGTATATCGGATACGTTTTGATGACAGGATCCGGATTTCGGAGGTTAGGAAGGTGGTTAACGATGCGTTAATGCTTTGTGATTTGCCAGTGTGTTTCCTTCACAGAGTACGGAAAAAGATTCGTATCGTATGGACGAAAAATCCATCAGTATCTGATATATTGCACAATCAGCGTAGTTTTTCTACACGCGATGTGCTGGTCTGCAATTGTGCGGACCTTTCCCTTCCACACCAGGACGGGCACGTCTCTTTCCAATTCCTGCTTCAGTAGCACTCCTGTAGCAAAAAAGTATGTGTGCGCAATGTCTATCACTACGAATTTCTGTAACTCCTTCAAGTCCAACTTCCGCCAATGGTCACCCCCGGTGGTATGTCCAAAACTTGCCCCCGTACCTCGAGTATTTACTCTCACGACGAAATGTTGTTTACCCAAATGGTAAGATACAAGCCAATCAACTGCTCGGCAAATCTCCCCATGGGGGAGCTTGCTGAACATATCCTTAATATCGAAGGATCTAGCTTCGACACCACTTCCATGTACAACCTTTCGAAGACGTTTGTTGCCATTATCCAGGCAGGAGACAAGATCCGATACAGCACGCAAGTTAAAATGCCATCTCCGTGGGATCGTGCTTAAGTGATTCGGCCCCCTAGCCACCACTCGTCCCGTCTTTACCATCGGGTCCTTGAAAGACGGGAAAATAGGCCTGTATCTGCTCAGGTCCTTATGTTTTGGTATTACATACGCGGATCCGAAGCCACCATCCTTATCCCATTTAACAAACTTAGTTAGTTCGGCTTCAGCCATGTCTTCCCTGATCTCGCGGAGAATTACCTTGTCCGAAACTTGCACAATTCTATAACCTGGATTATAGCAAAAGTCTGGAGCATTGCTTCGTGATACACATAGGGGCAGAGTACCACCGATTCACCTGGGTTCCTATCCGTTGCGGTAACTACCAAACCCTTTAAACGTTCCTTCAATGCCAACACATCATCCATGGATAGTGACACTCTATCCTCTGTAGAATCAACAACACAAGCATGCAGTGCATCAATAGGTATGGGTGGAACACCATTCCTGCAATTATGCCAACCTTGAAAGCCCCCGATTAATTCCTCTTGTAGTGTAGGTAGCCGATCGCTAATACCCTGTCGAGGGATGTTGTTAGCATTCGACAGCAGTGGATTAATATCCTCCAAATGACTGAGTATCCCTATGGGAAAAAGCACCAGTCCACCGCTCGCTTGCATATTGTGCGCTTATTCGGAGTACACTTTACTGTGCTCCTTGGGGAATGACGCGAAATTGGTTTTTGGCACTCGTTTGATCGATGATGTCTTTTTGGCAGTGTCCCGTAAGGATGAGGAAAGCAGAAACAGGATTTGGCGCCTGTTTGATTACTGTTATCCAGCGAACTTGCAGTTAAAACGGACTGATGACGGGACAGGAACTTTTGAATTCTTGGGCTGCGAGATACGCGTCGCACATAGTGCCCCATATCTAGGATGCGTACAGATGTCTAGAAACGAGGACTGTGTCTGGACAACCAATCAGCTGAGTATCAAAAATGGCCAATCATACCACTCATGGAGCTGCAAGCGCCAAAAAAGCGCTATCATCACTAGCTGTTTACACCGTATTGATCAGAACACGTCAGTACGAACTGAGATCCCAACCAGGGTCCTCACATTGCAATTGGAACTGGCACTCAAGGATTTCCCAAAGGACTTCTTCATGAGGGTACTGAGGAGATTTGCAGTTAAGCGGGATGGCATCTGGGATTACACAGTTAGATTTATGTCTCAACTCTGAATTGGTATAGGAAATGTGGGAGTAGTTTATGCATGTGTATGAACGTGGTTGTCTTCAGTAACTTGTCATGAATGATTTGATGCATGATTACGTAAATGTTTTGGACTGGGACAGGGGGACACATATTGTCTTTGGACTGGATTGGGATAGGGTGCCAAATTTTGTCTTTAGCCAGGATGCCTGTGTTTTTAACTTTTCATAGGAAGCAGGGGGTCGCAAGTATGCTACGGATGGTCGGGCTGAAGGGGATCGTGACACTGGGTCGGTGTACATCAGGTGCCTGGGATTCGAACCGGGACCTGTTGGGGTACTGACGGACCGACAATATGCGCAGTTTTGGCCCGAACCGAGGGTAGTTCGCTGTGACTGGACTTTTCTATTTTTCTAGGACTTTGTGTGTACTTGTTGCTGACGTTTCTAGATGAAGGTAGCGTAGACACTATCGGTTGACTTTGCGAGGAACTATATATAGGTAGAAGCATAGTGTTATCGACCTCTCAGGACTTACGTTTGACGCGGCTATTGTCATTTGACAGTAGCCGACGCCGACGGAAGGAGGGAATGATGGAGAGTTTGGCGGACCATGTGTGTATTCTCACCATGATGTGAATGAGACGAGCTCTGTGTGAAACTGAGTGATACTTTCCTACTTCCGCGATGTGCTAGGGGTGCTGATAGGAGCAGGCGCCGCTAGCATACTCGGGAAGGCTCCATCTATTAGTGGGGAGCAGCACCTGCTGGAAACCGGGTCCAGCGTCCCTGAACATTTTAGATTACCTGAATTGTTGCTGTAACAGAGGTGGCAGAAGTGTAACGTTGAGCAGACAATTATTCTGCTGAGAGATTGCACTAAGATCAGAGATGGAGTTACAGACCCAGTCCATAGCAACTTTTTTTTTTTTTTTTTTTTTTTTTTAAACATCATTGATGATAGGAGGTAGAGGGGATGCTGATAAGAGCAGACACCCCCTCTACCTTCATATTTGGTTGATGGCTCCGTCAGTCCATAGCAACTACTATGTCTACCTAATTAACATTGTCCATGATTCTACCTTCTCTGAGCCCTTGCCGGAAGCCACACCCAGCTAGCTCGATTGCCCACCTAACCACCCTTGTGAATGAGCCTCTGTTCTATCCATTGAACTTGTTTATCTACCTGATTTTGCCAAATATTGAGTCTTAATTATAGCTACTCTCAGTATAAGCAGGTACTAAGCGTATCCTGCTATCTAGCATGCCTACATGACATATCCTTTGTTTAACCTCCCAATCTACCCATTCTCGGCACATGCAGGCAAGCGCACCTCCCATTCCCCTACCTCCACCCTTAGGATCTGGATATATTGACTTGCGCTTTGTGGTGATTGTGTGGTTTTGTTGAATGGCTTCGGGGCACCTCCCCCAGCAATAAGTGGCCTTTATTTGGCCGCCGTCCCCAGCTGCATCTGTCTTCCTATGGCCCAATATCCTGATGGTCGGACAGTGAGGCGGCCAATTCTATGGGTCCCAGCCAATTGGGTGATGGGAGCACCTGTCTCTTATACACATCTAGATGTGTATAAGAGACACCGGTAGCACCGTTTCACGACGGGTACCGGTCG